CAGTGAATCATCCATTTACAGCTCAGTCTTGTTTACCAAACTATGGTCTTGTCTGATCTTCTTGGCATATAGAAAACCCACTTTCAGAACCTTCTTGCTCCTCTCAATTTCACTGGTACCTCATGGGAGCATAAATACATTTTTATGGGCTGGTCCCATGAATGGCAGGAATGCTACCAGAATCAATCAACCCCTCATTTATTAAGCACCTACTCTGTGAAAATCTCATTGCTGCAACCTCTGTTGTCCATTAAGTGACATCAGAATCCTATCAACCCAGAAACCCAGGGAGGACTCAGAGTAACCAATCCTTCCTCAAGAGTGTTCGTGAGGCTTGTGTATATATTTTTATTGACAGGGAAGATGAAAATTAACACCAGTTATGAACACACACCCAATTATAGTTCATAGGATCATAGGGGCAAGAGGCCTTTCCTGGTCTTTCCAAATGCTAGTGATTTCCCTTCTAAGATTACTTTTTATCAACTCTGTTTCTGGACTTAATTATTTACATGTTATGTCTTCCATTAGACTGTGAGCTCCTTGAGGTCAGGGCTATTTTTAGCTTTTTTCTTTATCTCCTCAGCCCCGGGCACAGTATTTGGTTCATAGTAAGCACTTAAATGCTTATTGATTGATGGATAGGAAGGGACCTTTAGGGATCCTCTAGTGACTAGATCAACCCTCTTATTAGATAGAGAAAGGAACTGACACCCAGAGAGAAAATCTCCATGGTCACATAGTTGGTAAGTGAAGGGCCAGGGTTTGAAGCAGGTTTTCTGAGGAGAAATACAGCACTACCCCAGGTTGTGAGGGAGAAGGAGCTTGTCATTTTTCCTTAGAGTAGAAGACAGGAGAAAATGAAGAGAGCTACACATTCGATTAAGAAAATGCAGACCTGCAACTATGATGTAAGCCACATCCACACTAGCAATCCAAAATGAACCTGGAAAGTTAAATCACAAAACTGAAAATCAGATTAAATTCAATTTAAAAAGCTATCTCTTTTCTTTTAAATTTTTTTTCTTAATGAATAACAATCTATTTTCTTTCTTTCCCAACCATAGTATCAGAAAAAAAGGGAAAACAAAGTCCATGTAACAAATATGCATAGACAAGAAAACAGATTTCTGCTTTGCCCACACCCAAAAATACATATGTCTGTTTGCCCTTTCTGTCCATTGCCTCTTGGTCAGGAAGTAGGTGGCATGTTTCATCAAGGATATTCTGGAATCATAGCCAATCATTGAATTTATCAGAGTTCTCAAGTCTTTCTAATATGCTTGATATTCTTGTATAAATTTTCCTCCTGATTCTGCTCACTTCGCTTTGAATCAGTTCATGTAAATCTTCCCAGGCTTCTCTCAAATTGTCCCCCTCATCATTTATCATAGCAAAATAATATTCCATTATATTAATATACCATACCTTTTTCTTTGCTTTAAAAAAAATGACCAAGATCTGCCTTCTAACCCTCCCACTCCCACCTGCCAACTGAGAATACAAGAAAAACAAACCTTAATACAAATCTGTACGATCAAAACAAATTTCCACATTGGACATGTCCAAAAAAGAAAATATTTGTCTCATTCTGCATTCTGAGTCCTTCACCTCTTTATTGGGAGGTGGGTGGCATGTTTCATCATCAATCCTCTGGAATCTTGGTTTATCTTTATGTGGATAAGAATTCAGTACAATAGTATTCTATAACATTTATACATCTTAACTTGTTCATCCATTCTCCAATTTCTGGGTACCCTCAGATTCCCATTGTTTGCTGCCCCCAAAAGTTATAAATAATTCTGTACATCCTTAGAATTTGTTTTGCTTAAGATTGATCCCTTTTTTAATCCATGCTCCTTCTAATTCCCCTCCATCTCCCCTTTCCCTGTTGAGTGAAATATATTTCTGTATCCAACTCTGTGTCTTTGTAGGGGTGTGTGTGGTGTGTGTTCTTTCTTTTTTTGACCAGTCCAGATGACAGTGAGGTTGAAGTATCAGCTGCTTCCCTCATCTCCTTCTTGTTTGTATGAATTTCTACTTGTGTGTACCTTGGTTATGTGAGATAATTTTCTTCTAACCTTCCTTTCTTTTTCAACCTTTCCTGAGCTCTCCTATCCCCCACTATTCCTCTTCTTTTCTGCATTCTTTTTTTAAGCTCATCAAGCCATAACAATGCAGGACTTGTTGAATTGGACTCCCCCTATGACCTTGATGATGATAGGGTTCAGAGAGGACACATATTATCTCACCATATTTGAATGTAAACAGTGTATCCTCACTCAGTCCTTTATCACTATTCAGTCATCTTTACCTTGCTATGTTTCTTTTTACTCCTATGTTTAAACCTCAAAGTTTCTCTGCAGCTCTGGTCTTTTCATCAGGAATGCTTGGAAGTCCTCTATTTCATTAAAGTACCATTTTTCCCCACTGTGGAATTTATATTCAGTTTTGCTGGGTAAGCTATTCTTGGCTATAAGCCCACATCCTTCGCCTTCCGGAATATTGTATTCCAAGCTCTCTGCTCCTTTATTGTGGCTGATAAATTGTATGTGATCCTGACTGTGTCTCCTTAGCACCTGAATTTTTTTTTTCTTTCTGGCTGCTTGCATTTTTTTTTCTTTGACCTGGAAGCTCTGGATTTTGGCAGTGATGTACCTGAGAGCTTTCATTTGGTGGTTTCTTTTATGAGGCGACCAGTGGATTCCTTCTGTTTCCCCTTGCTCTCTGGTTTTAAGAGATCTGGGCAGTTTCATTTAAGACTTCTTGAAATAGGACATCCAGACTCCTTTTCTGTTGCTGTTGTTATTCATGGAGTACAGTGATTCTCAAATTCTACCCCCCCAATCTATTCCCAGGTCAGTTGTTTTTGCCATGAGACAGCTTCATTTTCTTTCATTTTTGGCCTTTCGACTTTGTTTTGACATTTCTTGTTGCCTCTTGGAGTCATTGCCTTCCAACTGGTCCCTTCACATGTTCAGGGAGCTTGCTGCTCAGGAAGGCTTTGCGCCCCTGGTGCACAGCTGTTAATTCCCTTTCTGATTCTTTCTTCCACAGCTTTCATTGTTTTTTTAGTTTTTTCCTTAAGCGCTCTTGTTCCACTTATAAAAATATTTAAAAATTATTATTTTCTAAAACCCTAGCTTCAGTTCTTCCAGGAAATCTAGTTTGTGCCCAGTTGGGTTTTTTCTCGGAGGCTTGGCTTAGATATCTTGGACTCATGGTCTTCTGCATCTGTATGTCATTATTACGGCGGGTTTCTTTTTGTGCGTGCCCACTCTTCCTGCCTGCCTCCTCACTTTGGGCTTGATGGCAGGGCCTCGCAACACTTCTGGAGGGAAGGTCTGGGCTCGTCCAGTCGCTGCTTTCTTGGGCGTACCGACTGATGCATCATTCTAGGATCTAGGGGGCGGGAGGGGCTGGAGGGGGCGGGGCCGAGGGCGCGCGCTGATCCGGGCTGACTGGGGCCTGAGGGCGGGAGGAGGCTGGTACTGGCTGCTGCGCAGGCGCAGAGGCGGGATGGGAGCGGAGCGGGGCGGGGCTGAGGCGCCTGGCGGCACGCGCTCCCTGGTCTGCGCCCCCTCACGAGGCTCTGGCTTCCTCGCTCCCGCCCTCCTTGGAGGCCTCGCGCGCTCGAGGGCGTGACGGGCTGGGTGCTGTGGAGCATGGAGGGCGCGCCGGGGCCCCCCCCAGGCCAAGCGCCCCCGGTTTGAGGAGGACGCCCCTTGCGGGCCTCAGTCTAGGGGCCGGGCTCCTGAGGGGGGGCCCGTGGGCACGGAGCCCCCCCGCCCCCAGAACCCCCTCCCCTTGCTCGCCCTCTTGCTGGGGGGCCCCTCGCTGGGCGAGCCAACCATGCCGCGAGGTCAGGAGGGGATGGTGGGGGGTAGGGCGTGGCGGGGCGGCAGCGCCCGAGGCGCCCCCCCCCAGAAAAGGCGCGCTCCCGGCGGACCCCGGGGGGACGAGGAGAGCCCCTCCCCCAAGACCCCCCGGAGAACCCCCAAGGAGGAAGTTGGGGCGCGGCTCCTCGGGGGCGCCGACAGTGGCAGAGGGGGCGCTCCCGGGGACCCCGAAGGCACCCACGAGAGGGAGACAATGAAAAACCGGCCCTCACGACAGCTCGCGACGGGCCTTTCGAGCTTGGGCCAGGCTCGGAACGCCCGTGCAGAACATTCCCAGGAGCCCATCCTAGAAATGGCTGCCGCCCCAAAGGCCCTTTTGCGAACCGGCGCTTGCCCTCCCCCCGCCTTGCTGAGGTCTGCGGAGATCGGCGGGGGTGCGCAGGGGCCGCGCTGGAGCAGGCTGGCCACGCGGGGCGCTTTGCCTCCGCGGGGCCTTCTTCACGCTCTCAATGCCACAGCTTTCCACCTGTTTTTGATTGTTCCCGGAAGTCCAAAAGACGAAAGCGTTTCGGCCTGGTTAGGTGGCTGTGACATCTTACGGTCCCCGAGGCAACGGGCCCCTCAAAGCCTAGTGGCTGGGCACGTGAATCTCTATAGCGAGACCTTCGAGGCACTGCCAGACCGTGGGGACCTGAGCGTGTTGAATTGGCAGTCAGTTCAGGCCTAGCTCGTTTATTCAGCAGTTCAGGTTTCTCAGCAGAAATTGAGGAGTTTATACTGGAAGAGGAAAACAAGTTAAAATGCATCGGACTCCTGCAATTGGACTTCCACATAAATAATATATTAGAAAAGCACAATACACCTCTCCTACTGATTGTAGCTTTTGTACGCATCTGGAGAGATGCTAGGAACGCTTTGCTGAGGAAAAGAAGAGGCTTAGCATTACTATCTAAAGATAGGGACATAGGTCAGTGCTACATGGAAAGTCTAAAAATTGATATGTATTTTCTAAATGGAATTTTGGCCTCAACTCAACAAAAAGAATTTTTAAAAGGAAGCTATAAAACTAATCACTTCCTGCCCATTAAAGGCAAATTTCTAGAAAGAAATAACCTGTTTACAGTCTCTGAAATGAAAAATTTAACTGGGTTAAGTTTTGAATTTTTACCTTATCTAAGTGAAATTCCAAAATGGAAAGTCAGAAAACTAAAAAATGACAATCATTCGAATTTTCTAGAGGAAGAGAATGGAACTAAATCAGTATTACCAAAGAAAAGAAGACCTAATATAGATCAGGGAAATAATTTGCTTCTCACAATATTTAAAGCCTCAGATTCTGCTTTTAATCTAAATATGAGGTATGAGCACAATAAGGTCAGAGAATGTATGAATCAGAAAGAAGGCAACTATGTTTCTGAAGTCACTGGCACTTGCCACATTATAACTACTGAGAATATACGTAGAGATTTCAAGAAACATGGCAATAATTCCTTCCATGTTATCCCTAAAGACACACTTTTTTCTGTTTTTGATACTTTTCAAAAAGGTCCTCCTGTAAGTAATTTTGGTGACACTGGCAGCATCTCTTTGTCCAAGAGAGATTACAATGATAATGCAAGTTCTGAAAAAGCCATCATCCTGCAAGCTCTTAATAGCAGGGCCGTTCCTCAATGTATACAAGCTACCCAAATAAATACAACTGAACGTGCCCACAAAACAAATACTAACAGCCAAGATACAATAATTGAAAAGAAACAGATGTTTAATATAAATAGTTTTAGTTTAAAAGGCAAATTTAATTCTTTCTTGGATATTGAGCAAGAGGTAAAATTGGTGCACTGTGACACCCTTTACATTGGACCAAATGCCATGACTAAAACTCAGGAAGAATTCGTTGGGGATTTCCTAAGTGAATGGAAAGAAAAAATACAGAACTTGATTTGGAATGAGAGAAAACACCCAACAGAAAGTTTAACAGGAATGCATAGTTTCCAAATTTCTAATGGGAGTAAGATAGAGAGAGAACAGAAATATAGCATTACTACCACTAATACCATGGTTTGCATTCTAAAATCAAACCTATTAATGAAAAAGAAACCAAATTTAGAAGATGCTAGAGAGATAAACCAGATACACGGCAATCAAAACAACACAACTGATAGAAATGAGCACCAGACTCTTTTGCAAGAAAGTGCTTTAGCAAATTCAAAACTTTTTCATCTGAACAATGAATCCACAGAATTTGTTAACCGTAAATTTAAAACTGATTTGGCCACAAGAAATAATGAGTATTCTCCAGACTTACGAGCTGAATGTTTATCAACAGAAACTAAGACAATGACTGATTTTGAAATGAAGAGTAAATTTGATATTGTACTCAAAGAACTTTGCATGTTTCATGAAATTGGTAAGGAAGAAGAAACTTCATTGATTGGAGAAACAAGAAACAGTGAAGAGAAAAATGACTTTGACAAAGATAATTCTACAGAGGAGGTACACCAGGTGATAAAAGAAGACTTTACAGTTGTCTCCATGGAAAAAATATGTGTACCTTCTTTACCCTGTGATACGATCATAAGTGTGAATATGCCAAAGACAATCCAAAGTTCATTTAAATGGAAAAAATTACATAGGAATCGAGAAAAGGAAGTACCTCATGAATATTGTTCTTCAAGCCCCTCAGATGAGGAATTACTGCATTCACCTTCTGGAAGAGGTAAGAAAATAGAGCAGTTTAATTTTTCTTTTTCATGGTTGTTGGTGTTCATTCATTTCAGCTCTTTGTGACTCTTTGTGACCCAATTTGGAGTTTTCTTGGTAAAGATACTGGAGTGCTCGGCCGTTTCCTCCTCTAGCTAATTTTATGGATGAGGAAACTGAGGCAAACAGGGTAAAGTGGCTCACCCAGGGTTAGGGTTGGGGTAAGTGTCTGAGGCCACATTTGAACTCAGGAAGATGAGTCTTCCTGACTCCAGGCCCGGGACTCTCTATACATTATTCCTTTGTAAGCTAAATGTGTAACTTTATCAAAAGAATGAAATACATCTATCATATGAGAGGATTATAGTGGAAAACTCTTATAAAATCCTGGGGCTTGAAAGATATTAGAGATGATGTGGATGACAGCTAGCATTTATTAAGCATCTACTGTGTGCCAGGCATGGGGCAGCTGGGTGGTATAGTGGATAGAGGACTAGGCCTGGAGTCAGGAAGATCTGAGTTCAAATCCAGCCTCAGACACTAGCTGTGTGACACATTTCTTAACCCCTGTTTGCCTTAGTTCCTCGTTGGTAAAGTGGGAACACACTGGAGAAAGAAATGGCAAATAATTCTAGTATTTTTGCTAAGAAAACCTACATGGACAAGTCCGTGGAGTTATGACGATTTGGATTGAACAACAACATCAGTGTTCCAGGCCCAGTGTTAATCACCTTCCAAATATTATCTCATTAGATCCTTACAACAACTCTGGGAAGGAGGTGCCATTCTCACCCCATTGTATAATTGAGGAAATTGAGGCAGACAGAGGTGATGTGATTTGCCCAGGGTCAAGCAGCTAGCAAGTGTCTGGGACTGGAACTCAGGTCTTTCTCACTTGAGTGCTCTGTCCCCAGTGTCACCAGCTGTATCAGGACCCTCTGGCCTAACCTCATGATTTTATAGGTGAAGAATCAGGTCTAAGGAGGTGAGCTGACTTGTTCCAGGTCACAGCTAATGTGTGGTAGGAGGGGCTGTAGGACCCCTTGCCCCCAGGCCCTTGCATTCTGCCTCTTGCCCTATGCTCTGTCAATAAGGGAAAACCCCTCAGGAGGTTTAGATTGAGGGCAGGAAGGGGCCCTACTGACCATCTAGACCCATCTCCTCATAGTGCGGCTTCGATAACTGAGGTGTACAAGGGCCTGGGCATAGCTTGTCCGGGGTCATGTTGATTAATTACATGCCAAGGCCAAGATTTGTGCCTCCATCTCTGCCCCCAATTCCAGAACACTTTAGGCTGTGCTGCATTTGGACAACCTGTCACTCACAAATAAACCAAATTGTAAAAGAAAATAATTTTCATTGAATTGTTACAGAAGTTTTCTCTCAATAGATTCCAGCAATTAAATGTATACTTTATTTTGGTTCACATTTGGGCATTTTGACATAAACACAGTGAAAGTATGATGACAAGAACCTTGGTATTTTATGTGGGCCTATCCTTGATCCAAATAACTCATTCTGTAAGACTAGTAAGGATAATGTGGTGCAGGGGGAAGACCTTGTTTACCTCCTCTATAAAATGGGTATCCTGATACCTACAGTATCTATCCCACAGCATCATTGTAGGGTGCATTGAGAGAGAATAGATGACGGACTTGTGGAAACTTCCAAGTCTCTATAAATGCCAGTGATCTTTCCTATCATAAAGAAGGGATTTCAGCCCAAATTTATAGCTTCTTCTGCATGTTATTCAGATGCCCCCAAATTCAAATGGACATTTTCTAATCTAATAAAAGAGTGATGCCCAATGCAGGTATAAGTCTTTGAGCGTGGTCTAGAGCTGGGATAGTAAAGAGGACACACGCAAAATGGCTTCAGTGATTGTGTCCCCAGGATTTTTAAAGAATAAATCATGTCTATATTGCAGCACAGTACAACTTGACTAAACTTGTGCCTCCTAGCTCTGGAGGGCAGAGCCAGGAGAAATGACTGGAAGTGTAGAGGCAAGTTTAGATTTGAGACCAGGAAGAGCTTCTTACCTACCCATTAGATCTGTCCAACAGTAGAATAGGCTGTGTAGGGAGGCGAGGGTGCCGAGGTCGGGTGACCACTAGTCTGGGATGTCATGGGGGAGATTCCTTTGGTTTATAGGTTGGACTAGAGGCCCTGGAGGTCCCTTCCAACTCTCAATTCTGGAATTTATATCCCTCCACCTGAGATGACTCAAAACCCACATAGGATAATAGTAATGGTAATAATAATGGGAGTTAGCACTTATATTGTGCCTTCAGGTTTGCCAAATGCTTTCCATGTGTTTTCTCATTTCACCCTCCCAACAACTCTGTGACATGGCTTTCAGTGTTAATGTGGGCTGAAGGGGTAAGTGATTTGCCAGGCAGATGTCAGAAATGTTCCTGACTCAGAGGCTGGCCCTTGCCTGGAGCCCTTTTTCTCCTGTGCCAGCCTGCCTCTCATGTGATTTATGTGCCCTCTGAATCCCATAAATATATGATAACATACCTTGTGCCCATAACCAATGCCAGTCTTCTGAACTTTTCCCCAGAATGTTTTCCCTCATCATCCTACCTTTTAGACTCACTGGCCTCCCTCAAGGTCCAGCTCCTGTGCTGCCTTGTTGTTAATGGTCTCTCTTCTAGAATGATCCTGTTTGCACTTATAACTGCATCCCCCTGCCCCCACTATAGGGGTGGACAGGGATTATTTTCCTTCTTTTCTTAAAATGTTTTATTGATTTGTTTTGTTTTTCCATCACCTTCATTTTTATATGTATTTCTCTGTTCTCCTGTCTCCTGAGAGCTATCATTCACAGAGGGAAAGAGAGAAGCAGGTCAGTCAAGCCAGCCAATGCCTTAGTTTATTTTGCCAGTGTATGTAATGTCTATACTGTAGGCTTCCCCTTAGCAGAGGAGGAGGTACATTTTCTCTTCTTTTCTCTAAAGTTTCCTCATTAGAATTACACAGCTTGCGTCCATTAAAATTTGGAGGAGATTGTTTCCATTGACATATGGCCATATACTGATTTCATTTTGCATCAGTTCATATGCCTTTCTTTGCTTCTCTGCATTTTTATTTATTCATCATGTCTTATCATGCAGTATTATCCTATTACATCCTTGTGCTGCATTTCATTTAGTCATCTGATGGCCACTGACTTTGTTTCCAGGTCTTTGTGACAAATATCTTGGTGTACATGGGGTGCTTCTTCCTGTCTCTTAACTCCCTGGTGTGTATGGCAAGGATTGTTTATCATTTTGGCTTTGCAGCCTCAGAACCTTACTTGTAAGTGCTTAATAAGTGTCTCTTAAATTGCATTGAATTTTGGCAGTCTGTATGTGATATTTTCTGTCTACTTCTTCTTCCTTTCCTGCCCCCTCCTCCATAATTCCTCTGAACATCGGCAGTGCCATAACCCTAAACATTTCTTTGGTGCTTTAAAACTTGCCGAGCATTTCGTGTACGTGATCTCATTAGGGAACTTCTCTATGCTACCTTTCTTGCTTTATCTCCCACTGCTTCCTTACAGAAATCACATTTCAGCCCCAATGGATTATGCTCTATTCTCTGTTCAGGGATTAGCTTGCAGGCAGTGTCTGAGGGACCTGAATAAACAGGATTATCACAGACCTGGGGGGGGGGGTCTTGCTGCGGCTGAATTCCAGAGCAGCATCCCTGCCTGAGAGCAGGTAGACAAGACCCTTGTTATTTTGGCAGCTCCTTCCGGAGGGTGAGGGCACGTTAATATCCACAGCAAGGGAGAACCTCGGGGACTCCACATCTCTTCAGTGAGGGACCCTCCACACCCAGAGTTCCACCTGGCTCTCTTGCCTCTGTTACCTTGCGTATACCATATGCTGCTATCAGGGTGAATTTGTAAATTTTAGCTGGAGAAACCTGACTTGTCCCTGCTTAAGTGGGCGTGGTAGAAAGCAAAGTCATGGAAGGGAGCTTTTGGCCACAGCTGTCCTCTTTCTATCTCTGCAGGGAGCTGAATTCCTTCCCTGCTATGCTAATACCATTAAGACAGCCTTGCATTCTTCCCACATCTTTACCTAAGATGGTAGGCAGTAAAACCAAGGGAACAATGCACAGATCTCTTGATCCCTCTCTCTGGTTCTCTTTTCTCTGTCTCTAAAATGAGGGTTTTGATCAAATAATCGCTTAGAATTTTTCCAGACCAAACCCCATAATCTTAAAATATGTGGAATTAAATTCAGCAAATATTATTAAATGCCAGCTCTGAGTACTGTGCTTTGTTAGCTCTTGCAGCCACTCCTGGTAATTAGTCAGTTAATCAATGAATTGTCCAATTATTCAAAATGGTTGGAATTTTTTTTTGTGTATAGTTTCAGCCTTTATGTGTATGAAATCACTTTGAAAAAGCAACTCAGACATGTTGTTTTACAAAGTGAACGTGATCAACACATTGTAGTGTTTTGATTAAATTGCAAGCGTTATTGTTCAAACAGCAAGCATTTATTGATGTACTGCTCCATGTCAGGCATTGTGCTAGGTGCCTGGGATACAAAGACAAAGCAAAACAGTCCCTGCCCTCAAGGAGCTTACATTCTATTTGGGGAAAACAACATGTATCAGATAAGCAAATACAAAAATAAATGCAAAATACATTTTTGGTGGAGAGGGCCCTAGCAATTGGGAGCTCAAGACAGGCCCTGAGTAAGAGGTGGCCCTTGAGGAAAGCTAGGGATTCTCCCAGTGGAGGCAAGGAGGGAGGCAAAGAGATGGAGGTGGGTGATGGAATCTTGTGTGGGATGGGCAGCACAAGGGTTCATTTCCTGCCAAGCAGAATTCAAGCAGAGGAATGCGGAGTAAGCTTGGAGTGGTCTGCTGGGACCAGAGTGCAAAAAAGGGCTTTAAATGACAAACTGGAGTTTGTCAGACAAGAGGGAGCCCACAGGAATTTCCTCCCTCCAAGCTGGGGTGTTAGATTGAGACCTGGGCAGCTGTGTGAAGGATGTATTAGAAAGGGAGGGAAAT